CGACATCTGGTGAAAATTTCATGTCATTAGCACCTCTAGTAATATATTTACTGAGAAAAATGTTGACGTGTTCAATACTTATTTTACCTGCTGTATTTCCCCCTCTTACTCGTAAACTGTCGTGAACATCTAACTACCAAGTTGTTGTATTAAATGTACAACTTTAGGAATGATACTGGAACAATCTAACTACTGAAAATGCTCCATACATGTGCAGTGACAAAGATGTTCCTGTTGTTATAATTTTTCCTGTTATATTTTCTATAAAACAGCAACTGCAAAAGTAAAAGGTACTAACAATAAGAATCTCTTTCAAAAGCTTTTTTGAACATCTCGCATTTTCACATCTAAAACTCATATGAAGACAAAAATGCAGAAAATCTCAGGTTTTATAAAAAAATGCCGTAGATGGAACCTAATTTCTTATAAATTTTACCATAAAAGCATAATCTTTTTGGTGTCCAAAATCCATTTTAAAATGGTGAAGCTGAAAATTGGTAATGTAACTCAAATATGATCATCACGGTTGTGTCTCCGTGACCCATAACAATAAAAAAAGTTTCTGACATCCATAACATCTTCATCTCTAAAGAAGATGTCTGGTTTTTATCTGATTTTCTTGTCTATTGTTTTCTTTACAGACTAGATAAATATAAGGATTATGGTGCTTCTCTGAACAAGAGCTCCAGATTGCTGCACTGTCTCAACCACTTGGATTACAAATGTGCAATTGTTGATTAAAATGCATTTATGTGCAATGCTTTCTTATCATGATGCAACAATAATGTACAAATCATCTCATTCAGTTTCTTTTTGCACTTAAAGTGTTTTGACCTTGTGGAGTTATAGTTATTGATCCCAGGAAGCAGAAGAATCTTCAAATCTGACCAAGTCAAAAAAGCATCAGAACTGCTGTTTGTCACAAATTTACAGTTTCATCTGCAGACCGGGCAGTTAGCGTGTTGATGGGTTTCTGTTTTGAGTTTATCAGGAAGCACCACAGTAACTCCAACCCTGCACCCCTACGCCCCATGTTGGCCTGGAACCATGTTTGACCAATCCATCCCTGGGGTCCAGGAGCCACAGGCAGAGCTGAGTGGAAGGAAACAGAAATCTGCTTTAGCTCAGCTTGATGCATTCCCTATCCATTACCTGCAGCCACCACCTGCTGTTTAATGTCTTGCCTGCTTGTGTTGATGGGCCTTCTGGAGCCACGGTTGTTTATTTGATCTGTAACATGATCTGAGTGTGTTTACAGCAACGGCAGCAAAGTATGGATATACTGAAGCATCAGAAGATGCAGACATGAGATGTGAAGCACCACCCCAGAGGTGATTATCTTCAACTTGTCCTCATCAGCAGTGGAGTATCTGTAATCAATGTCCCATGCCATGCCAGCAATTAGCACACTCAAAAGGGAGCACTAGTCTCGCTTCTCGCCTTGATTGGCATCCTCACAAGGCTTGTTTATCTGTGCTAAGTGGCTCTGCACATGACCCGCTGAAGCCTCACACACACACACACACACACACACACACACATCAAATGAGAGATTGCAGAGGAGGTGCTTGAAGCAATGGCCCCGTTTTTATCTCCCTCTCTTCTCTCGGTTCTTTGTCTGCTTGAAGGCCGAGCAGATGCCGCCTGCTCTTCTCAGTCACAGCGACTTTTTAACCTTTCAAGTTTACAGAAGGCACAGAGAAGACAGTTGTTCTGTAAGGTTTACAGAAAAACAAGCGTTTAGCCCTTCCAGACCCAAGCATCATATTGTGTTTGCAGCTCCTTTCCAGCCAGGAGACAATCTGAATAAAATATTTCATGTTCATATGCAGAAATCTTCATATATTTAGTGACAACTTCAGACTATTAGAATGTCCAATAAAAACTATCCTTTTTTTCCAGTAATGAAAGTGAACTCTTTCATAAGACTGCAAAAAGTACATTAAATGACTGAAACCAGAAAACAAGATAATTAAAACACTACAGGAATATTAGATGCCACATCAGTGCTGCTTATGTTAAAATTTGTATGTAGCCTTTGAAATAAATATGATCTAAATGCATCTTTAAAGCAAACCTGACACAATGCCTATCTGATTCCAATGTTGTATTAGTGTTTTGTTTGTTTTATTTCAAATTATTTATTAGACTTTAGCAGCCACAGTGGTGACTCACTCATAGCTAAAGTAAAAACTCAAAGTGCAAAGAGAAAGTGCGTGGAAAATCAGGTAAAGGAAGAGAGAAATACAAAAGAAAGAAAGAAAACCTCTTTAAAAGATAAAAGTTTTAATTGCACATGTAGAAAGCTCGGTGCTGCCTTTTAACTTTCATTAAGAACACTGCATTAATTTTTACATTGAAATGAATAATTCTGGAAAATAGAGAGCTTACCATTAATCATAAATGCTAAAGATAAATCATAATCAATAAGTGAAAACTCCAGGTCAGAGTTTTACAAAAATCAAAAAAATGGAACCACAAATCTCATTTCTCCCCTATTTTATTTTAAACAAATTGCACATTTAAAAACAAACAAATAACAATTTACCCATTTAGGCTGTGGAGTTACAGTTTGGAAAACATCTTGCAAAACAAGCTCAAGAAATATAATCCTGTTTTATTTGGTAGCTTCCTCACTGAATGTATCACATTGAAGAAATGGGGTTTATGTTATACACTGATTTTAGTGTAATTAAAATCAGTGTATAACATAAACCCCAATAATTTCTTCAACATCTTTAAAAAAACCTAAAATTAAAAAAAAATACTAAAAACTGAAATAAAAACCCCTAGGCTGTGTCCCTCATATCTTTTTTTAGCTGCATTGCGATATACTTTTGAACAAATTAAATACAACCAAATAAATCAAGTTACGTTTTGTATTAATTTTCTCAACTGCAGAAAGCCCTCCAAAGCTGATCAGTTCTTTTATCGTTGTTTAATGTCTTGCTTTGTCTCAAATCATAGATGCAGTAAAATAATACTAGGTGATCGAGTCAGAAGAAGTGAGTCATTCACTCTTCAGCCAGGGTTGTGTTGTGTTGTGTTGTGTTGGGCTGATGTTTGACTGATTATAGGCCAACATGGGAGTGTTTTCTGATGCTAACATTGAGATTGCTTGTTGTAAATCTTTGTTAAATAAATTATTCCTTAACAACTGTATTTTGTCAATCTCTTTTTAAGAAACAATCTGAMTGACTTCCTATTTAAAGTGTTATTTCTTGCATCCAACTTCATGGTTAAATAAATGATTGACAGTAGTTGTGAAATGACAGACTGAGCTTCATCCACATGATGCGAAGCGTTTCCTGTCCTCACCACCTGAGGGCAGCAGTGATCCTGTGAGGGGCTTTGACTGTTCCAGCATCAGATCAGCACATTAAACAAGGTGGAAACGATCACGCTGTCAATTAAATCTGCAAACAAATCCGTCAGCCTGCAAATCAAATTAGTGCTGACACACGAGGAGCTTAATACCTGCAGCAGGCTGTGTGGAAACATTCCCCTGCAGAGGCTTTCATTGGAGTCAAGCACGAGAAACTCCCTGTCTTGATTTTACTATGTCATAATAATAATTACTTGTACTCAAAGCCGAGGATAAACATGCTTATTGAAATATCAGAAGAACTCATGTTCTTTAACAGGTTTAAAGAATTATTTAGCTTCCTGTTTAAAAAGTTGCTCAACATTTTAAAAGAGGAAAAAAAAAAACAATACTGCACACAGATATGTGCGTAAACTGACCAATAAAAGCGTTAATATTTATGGTGGGTGGCAAACAGACCACCCCCCACATGTATGCACGCGCACGCGCCCTGCCTGACATAAGAAACTCCCTCTCCTCTGCGCTCACTCGCTCACTTCGTTCAGGTCATTTGGCAAAAGGCGCAGCATTGCGCCGTGCTCCTCCCGTCAGAGCGCACCCATTCTGACCAGGAACATTTGATCAGAAATAAAAAACAAACATAGGCAGCAATCTGCATGTTTCTCTTTTCTTCCTTTCTTTTTTTAAATCTAGTGGACTATGGTTGCTTGACTTTTTTATTTTAACTTCCACAGATTCTGATTAAAAGTTGATGCGAAGACACTTTTTGATCCATTTAGACAGCGTTAGGTGGAGTTAGAAAACACCGTGTGGAAGAGATGGATGTTTTGGAGCGAAACGACACATCTGTGAACTCAGAGTGCGTCGGAGCGCTGGCCGATGCGCTCCAGAACAACTGCTCTTTGGAGACGCTGAACATCTCTTATGACAACGAAGCCGCGCTCCTCATCCCACAGCGCGCCAGGCACAGAGGTAAGACCGAGGGAGCGTGTTTAAATCATCTCCAAAAAGCAAAGAGAACACAAGATTTGGCATGAGAAAAGGCGTTGACACTGAAGGGCGTCAAAATGAGATTTATTCAAAAGGGAATAAAGGAGTTGGAGGCGAAACATTGTTGGTGCTTACATCTTTTAAAAGATGAGGTGTAAACAAAATAAGGTATAATTTATTGTTTGTAATACTTTTTATTTTTTATTTCGTAAGCCATGAATGAGAGCTTTGTAACTTACGTTTATGCCCGTCTTTGCGCGCGCGTCTTACCAAAATAACTCCGGAACCACTGGACGGATCTTAATGCAACTTTCAGAAATAAATCGTTGGATTATAAATCAACAACTGACCAACTTTTGGAGTCACTTCAATTAAGCACTGCAGTCAACTGATATGAACAAAGAAAAAAAATGCTTATAAGTAACTCAATATTACAGACATTGACTTAACATTTTCTGTGGTTGTAATTGTACAATGTGTTTATTCAAAAAATGTCAATAACTATTTGAGCTCAACTACTGGACATAGTTCAACACATCTATAACTTTTGGAGCTGATTTATTTTAAAATGACTGCTTCAGACAGTGGCGGAGCCAGACATTTTTCTCAGGGGTGGCCAGACTGGGACCACTACTCACACAGGGGTGGCCAGACTGGGACCACTACTCACACAGGGGTGGCTAGGAAAATTGCACCATTTTTTTTTTACTTGAAAGTTTCTGCAGATCTTTGTGTTTTGGTCATTTCCTTATGTCCTTATACAGGCAGTGACTACCTTATAAACATGGGTGCAGAACCATTTTGAAAGTGGGGGGACAGACTGTTGCGAGGTCTGGGGATCCTCCCCCAGAAAAAATGTTGAACAAAATAGATGCCACTTCCTGCATTCTAGTGTATTTTACCAGGTTGTTAAACATACCTACATAAATAAACACTTGATTTAATATTTTTTTCAGAGACAGAATACTCAATCTAGTTCCATCATCCTGTTTTTAAACTCACTGCTACAGCTGAGATAATGTTAATTAATGTGACAAAATTTAACATGTCCAGTGACTTTAGGGGGGCTTTTTACTTTTGTATTGTTTATTTATTTATCTTTAGTTGTAACATGTCATTGTGCCAAATAATGATGACCATGAATTGCATGYTTAAAACTAATATTAATAATTTTACCCAATGAACAGGTACAATATATGATAACCACCAACAGTGAATTTAGAGAGATGTTTCACTTTTTCTGATTTAGTGATAGGTCTACTCATAACCAGAAAAGACAAGGCATCATTCAGCCTTCAG